TCTTTGAGGGTCGAGCGAGCCCTCTTGACAAAAGTCCATTCATCCGTCGTTATTTTAGCAGAGATACGAGTGATTGGTTGTTGAGACAACTAAACCACTCGATGTCTCCTCGACTCTAGGTTCGCGTGGTAACGAACCCCGTCGGTTTGTTCCAAGGCCTTAGCCATTTGGCGAGCGCGGCGTTGGTGTTGTCTCTGACGAGCTCTTTTCGTCAATGCCGGCGGGCTTTGATTCGATGACTCTTTAACTAGATAAGAGCCATTGTGAGCAGAGGTGTTGCGAGTGAAATCCTCAGCAACAATCAAGCGAGAGTCTTCATTTTGTGCCTTCTTTGGCATGTAAGTCTTCCTCAATTGTGAGATCCTCTTATACTTGCGAAACAATGAAGATCTTAAAGAGGATGATGAGAGATATTCCTCAAACTTGGTTTGGTCGAATTCGTATTCGACCATGGATTCAACTGGAATCTTGATAGGCTGCGACACGACGGTCTCGGCAGCAAGACCGTTGGCTCCCACTATGGTCGCTAGTTTGTTTTCAGCGAAAGTTGACTCCATTGTCGATTCCATTAAAACTTTGATGTGTTTACAGGAAATTACAATGAAAATAAGCAAAAATACAACTCTCGAGAAAATAACACAGAAATTGTCTATCAACTCCTGCTTTGTGGGACTTTGCCTGTGCCGTGAGTGCTTTGGCTAGTTGACCACCGATTCAAAGATCGTGAGGGTGTTTAGGGATCTCTCCTTCGTTTATCAAAGTAAAGATTTGAAAACGAATATCTTATCGATATAAGATGTCCGTTCTTCCAAAGATCAAGTCTAAGCTTATATCTCTAGGAATCGCCAGAAGCTTCTTGAGGATCTTTGTGAAGAAGGAAGACTCTCTTTCTTGCTCTAATTCACTAAAACTCAAGGCTCTCTGCTCTAATCTGCTCTGGAAATACTCAGCCCCTGTCAATGATGACCATAGAAGGGTATTTATAGACTCCTTAGACGATAACTGAAGAAATAGCCGATCAACAACTGCCTCTTTAGGCGCGGCAGTTGATACTGTCGCGGCTAAAGGGCGCGACAGTCGACACTGTCATGGCCAAAGGGCGCGGCAGTCGACACTGCCGCGGCTAAAGGGCGCGGCACACCCACGTTCATACGTGTTTGAAACTGTTCTCCCACGACCTTTAACCACCTTTTTCGTGGTTTAACTGCCTGTCCACGTCAGCACACGTTCTATCTCTGATACGCCGCCATGTGGACTTCAAAAATCATCAGATAACTCCCTTATAACTGCCACAACATCCTTCTTTAACTGCCGCGGCACCATAGGTTGCAGCGGTTAAGCCGCGGCACCATAGGCTGTCGCGCCTTAGCCGCGGCACCTTGGTCTGCCGCGCCTTAGCCGCGGCACCATGTCTTGCCGCGCCTTAGCCGCGGCACCATGTCCTACCGCGCCGCCATGTGTTGCTTGATGACGTGTATATTGTTCTTCTATGTCGTCTTGAGTGGTGTATGAATGTCTGTAAGTATTTTTTGACGCCTACACAAACTCTTAGTTGTTAAAAGAGTACCCACTCAAAACATCAGCCAAAAAATACCTTAAAAAGACCAAAATAGCCCCAGAGAATTAAATCAGAAAATAGCCGTTGGAAAGCAATCATGAGTTCGGCGGTCGACCGTGAAAATCTCGCGGTCGACCGCGAAGCACAAAAAGCTGAGAAATGAATTTTAAAAGCTGGCGGTCGACCACGACGGTCGACCGTGAAAATCTCTGGATGATCCATGGTCGACCGTCACGATCAACCGCGATCCAATAAATGACATATTATGAAAATTAACTACTGGCGGTCGACCGTGACGGTCGACCGTAAACTGATACATGTCAAAATACATGTTTTGGGCTGATTTCAAAAATACGTTAAAAATATCAAATCAATTCCAAAAATAGTAAAACTTTGGGAAAAGTTTCTAAATGATAAAATAAACATGTTTGAAAAGGAATTTTTATAAATGCAATTTTTGTTTGTGAAAACTCACTGTTTTTTAAAAGTGTTCAGAAAACCTATTTTTCGTGAACATGAAAATTGAACTATGACTTGTAAACTTGTATATATATATATATATATCATGCATACATTATATATATAATAAAGTATGAACGAGCTGTAAACATGAAATAAAAGCTATTGTATCAATGTTTGATAAAAAATCATTTGTATGATTTAAAAAGTCAAATTTGTGTTGTGTTTACATATTGAGCTTAAATATAATCATACGATATATGTAAGCAAAATAATCTTATACCTAGGTGAATGCACACACATGAACTTGAATCTTTAACTCTTGATTGCCGTGTGTTGGAATCCTGTAAAGAGAAAATCAAACCACAAAAACTAGAAGATATATTAGCTATAAATTGATTAACAAATCATCATCAAAACCATAGGGCCAACATGAAGGTCTCCGAAGAATTTTTGTTAAGAAAATTTGATAAAAAACTAAAGAGTCAAGATGACTTTTGATTTGATCTTTGGCGATCCATTTATAGATAGGTGGAGCTGTCGGGTCAGCACGAGATTTTAGGCAAAAATCCCGCCCAAACACGATCTCCGCGGTCACACTAAGTCGGTTCGGCTTCTAAAAGCGAGACTCACCTCCGCGTTTCAACTTCTGAACGCGAGGCTCACCTCCGCGTTTCAACTTCTAAATGTGAGGTTCACCGCTGCGTTTCAACTTCTGAACGCGAGGCTCACCTCCACGTTTTAACTTCTGAACGCGAGAATCACCTCCGCGTTTTAACTTCTGAACGCGAGCCTCACCTTTGCGTTTCAACTTCTAAACGCAAGGTTCACCGCCGCGTTTCAACTTTTGAACGCGAAGCTCAACTCCGCGCAAGAGATCACCTCCATCTTTCGAAGCAACAAACGCACGGCCCACTCCTACATATAGATTCTGTGTGACAAGTTTCTGCAACCATGTTCACAATGCCTTCGAAATGGATGTAGTGAACAAACACTTCATGACGAGGAATCAATAGTTCCAAGATTAAAAAAAATCAAGATCCAAAGTATTTTAAAAATTCGTTCCAATCAACTGCGAAGTTTCAAAAACTTTGAAGGGAGTTCTGTAGGTTGTCTAAAAATCACCTCAAATAGCTAATCCCCACAAAACACTAATGATGGAAGTTATTATCTGACAACTTTCACAACAACAAATAAGAGTTACGAACTGACGACTCTCACATCTCAAAGAGCCAAAAACCGGGATTACAAGATGACAATCCTTACAACACTCTAACAGAAGAGGTTACAAGATGATAATCTCTTCAAATCAAAACACGGAGGTCATCACCGCATTCCAAGTTCAAAACACGGAGGTCGCCACAGCGTTCCAAGTTCAAAACGCGGAGGTCTCCATCGCGTTCCAAGCTCAAATCGCGGAGCTCACCACCGCGTTTCAAGTTCAAAACGCGGAGCTCACCACCGCGTTTTCAATTCTAAACGCGAGGGTCGTTTCCAGAACACGAATCTCGTGTTTGACTGATTCAAACACGTTCTAAACGGTTCCAAAACTGTTTTGCACGAAATGAGACCACTAAGCCACTATTAAGGAGCGATTTAAGGGGTTGGTTACACCCCTTAAACCCCTATAAATAGCTAGGAAATTAGCTCGGCCAAAAAAAAAGGAGAGAAATTGAGAGAATTTTAGCATCCTTTGGGTTCTTGGAGCATTATTAATGGCTTTTATTGAAGCTTTTGCTTTTTGCTTGTGAACCATTTTTGGTTAAGGGGCTGTTTGGTTCGCTAAAAAAACATGGAAAGTAAAGAAAAGGAAACATATTTCCCATAATTGGATGTTTTCTTGTGTTTGGTTCACTTCTTAGAAGTAAAAAAGAGATAAGTTGAGATGAGTTGTCACAATATTATTGGATGATGTGAGTGATTTTTAAAGAAAACTTATTTTGATGTTCTTTTCTTATGTTTGGTTGGCTAAAAAATAAGGAAAAAACTTATAAGGAAAATATTTTCCTTGTTTTGGTTCTTTTCTTGTGTTTGGTTCATTTTTAAAACTAAGAAAAAAGATGAGATGAGATGAGTTGTCATTATCTTATTGGATGATGTGACTCACACTTAAGGAAATCAATTTCCTAGCTTTTTTGGAGGAAATTGGTGGAAATGAAATGTTAATGAGATAGGATGAGTTGTCACCATATTATTAGATGATGTGAGTGGTTTTTAAAGATGGTAGTAGATGAGATGAGATGAGTTGGATGAGTTGATTGATGTGACCCATTTCTTGTGTTTAGTTTATTTTTAAAAATAAGAAATAAGATGAGTTGTCACCATATTATTGGTTGATGTGGGAGATTTCTAAGGGTGGAAAATGATGGAAACCAAATTTTATTGATTTCCATGCTTTTCTTTCCTTTTCTTGGTTTTTAGGAAACGAACCAAACAGCCCCTAAGTTAAAAAGGATTAATTTCCTTTCTGAGTTTAACTCTTTTACAGAGTTCTAAAACTCGTTAAGAGTTTTAAACTTGCATCGCAAGTTCTTCCCGACGTCAAATCAAGAGGAATAGACTAACACATTCTACGAAGTAAAGTGTTCGGATTGTCAATGGGATACAAGATTCAAACTCCCATCGCTACCAAGAAGAACCTAGGTTTAAACAAAGGAAATGATCTCCGTCGATTCCTTCTCTCTTTTATAAATCGGGAAACCGATAAGAGAAAATTGTAATTTCTTTTTCTAAGTCAGTTAGAGAGAGGTTACATCGAGAGATTGTATTCATTCTTTCCTTAATTAAATCAGTTAGGTAGATTAATACAAATTTTCTTCTCAATTTTCTCGCAATTTTCCCCCAAACAACTCCCAACATCCAACAAAAACAAACACGTATCTACGCTTATTGTAAATAAAATGAGCGAGAATTTCCACATCCCCTCCAACTGTTCACTATTTCTCCGCTCTCCCCCTCATCCTAACCTCAAAAAAGTAATACCGTACCCATAAACTCTCCCTCTCCTCCTCTTTCTCAACCACATAGAGATCTCAAACTCACAAAAAATATGGCAGAGTTCCCAGGCAAGAAGCTCCGAGTCTTCTTCATCCCCTTCTTCGCCTCAGGCCACATGATCCCGATGGCCGACCTCGCTGTCCTCTTCTCCCGCCACCCTGATGTGGATCCCACCCTCTGTCTTACCCCCGCCAATGCCGGAGGCCGTCGGCCTCGCCAACGGCCAAGAAAACCTCTCCTCCGTCACCCCCAGCGAAGAACACAAAATCTACATGGCCGTCGATCTCTGTGAGCACGAGCACCGCCGCATCCTGCAAGAGCACCGCCCAGACGCTGTCATCGCTGATGTTCCCTTCTGGTGGACCACCTCCATCGCACGCGACCTCGGCGTGCCAAGAATAACTTGGCACTCTGTCGGTGTCTTCCCTCAGCTCGTCATGAATTCCCTCTTCGAGTACCGTAACGAAATCATCGGCACCAAGGGGGACGTTATCATTAAAGATTTGCCAGGTCCGAACCTGAAAATGCCGGTCTCTGAGCTCCCAGAATTCGCATGGTCGTCGTCGAACTTCATCGCCGAATCTTGGGGCAACATGAAGAAGGCACAGTTGGAAGGGTACGGCGTGGTCGTCAACACGTTCCATAAGATCGAGCAAGCATACTGCGACCAGTACAGGATGACTGACGGCAAGAGGGTGTGGTTCGTGGGCCCCGTCGGGCCATTGGCTACGTGGGCACGGAAGGCGGTGGCCGAGGCGGGTCTGGAGTGCCTGAAATGGCTCGGACGGTAGAGCTGAGGGATCAGTGGTGTGTCGTGTGTTTCGGGAGCTGTGTGTCAGTTCAAAAACGAACAGCTGAAGGCGATAGCGACAGGACTTGAGAAATCTGGCCGACCGTTAATGTGGGTTCGTCAGAGAAGGAGACTGCATGCCTGATGACGGCTGGGAAGTCGAGTCGAGGATAAGGGGAAGGTAGTGAGAGGATGGGCGCCGCAGGTGGCAATATTGGAACAAAAAGCCATCGGCGCGTTTTTGACAAACACTGTGGATGGAATTCAGTGCTAGGAGGCAGCGGCTGCGCTGGCGTGGGGCCGATGGCTGACGTGGCCTCGTGTTTGAACAGTTTATAAACGAGAGGCTAGTGGTGGAGGTGGATGGGGATGGGGGAGAGGTCTTTTTAAAGGTATCGAGCACGAGGGAGGAGGAGAAGGTTGTGGTCGCCCGCAGAGGGGCGATACGCAAGCGGTGATCTGAGTTCATGGAGAGAGAGGGAGGGAGGGGAGGAGGAGGACAGAAGCAAGGAAGTATGCGGCGATGGCGAGGGCAGCAGTGGAGGGCGGAGGATCGTCGAGGAAAATGGAATCTGGCGAGGTTGATTGATGAGCTTAAGGTGCTGAGAGACGAGAGATTGATGAAGATGTAGTTGTTTCAAGTGTTTTCATGTCTGGTGCTTATCGACAATGTATGTTCTCTTTTGTTTAGTGCATTTTGTAGTTGTTGTGGTACCAATTGGTTTTATTATGAAATAGGTTATTGATTTAGGTAAATTACATTTTTCTCTTGGAAAGTCCAATAAGGTCATTTGGTTAAAATGGAGGAGGTTAACCTTCAATTGATACTATTGCGCGTGAAATTTAGCATTTCTTTTAAACTTCTCATTTTATTCACAAATCAAAAATTACTACACAGCCAGCATCTCTGCAGTTGAGAAATGATACAATAAATAATTTTAAAGAAACAGACTAGATTACAGAGGTGTAAATTTGCGGGTGTAAAGGTTATGAAAGAGGAAGAAAAAAGTAAAACACATGTTTTCAACTATGGCTCTTGACTATTAACTCTGTTATGAAGCTCAAGCATCTCCTGGTGGTTAGGATCGACAGAGAGAGCGGCCCTGCAATCCCTTAAAGCGCTCTGAACATCGCCGATGTGTTCGTGGAAAGCAGCTCGAAGATGGAGAAGGTGAAGGTCTGCTTTGAAGGCAATAGCTCTCGTTAGCTCTGCTATCGCCTCTTTCTCCTTGCGATTATCCATCAGTACTGGTAGAAATAAATAAAAACATAATCACTCCAATGGCAATAAAACCAAAAAAGAAAGGGTTGTGTCTATAAGGATGTATGTAGAAACAAGTGCAAATTTCACAGAACCCCCTAAACTTTATAAATAAGAGAATCCCCATGAACTTTCTAAATTATACAAAACCCACCTGAACTATTGTATTTGACAAATGGCGTTAACTGAAGGGTAAGAGGTCTAAACTAACCTTATTTTTATCTGCGTACAGTAACCCAGAAGACTATCCTTATAAAATTAAGAAATACATAAGGTCAAAATTATGCAAAACATGTCTCATGCTAAACATGACAACTTAATCTAATCATTGTTGGGCATGGTAGTTTATTTAAACAAGTTAGAGCAGTTTTCTCTAACTTGTAATGTTTAGGAGGTTTTATGCAAAACATACCAAAGTTCAAAGGTTTTATGAAATTTACTCAACGAGTAAAAGAACATCTTCAACATGTTTTTTTTAAAATACCCAGTAATCTGTCTCTCTTACTTACGATAGCTAAACTGCAATAAGTTTTTGCTTTGACCAGATATGAAATTGTATCACACTGATATATATATACTGTTTCAATTTATTATTTTCCACCATCAGAGGCTTAGAGTAAAGTGTATTATAAAATTTTCACAATTTTGATACGACTAGGCACAAAGCAGATGTGATCATTTCATGCGCTTTGCAATCAGGGTGTATGCGTCTTTATTTTTGAAAGATGAATCATGCCACCAAAGTATTACAAGACTTGATACAATTAGCATTAGCCACTGATTGAAATCACCAATAGAGAATGAAATGGATTGATGCTGGAGATTCACAATTGATGCCATTCATTTGAAAATAAAGGAGTAGAGTGAAACAAAGTGAAATATTCACGTATAAATTGCTAAGGTCACAAAGATAGTGATGTAAACTCAGACACAATAATTATATAAATGGTTTATAAATGAAATATGAATATTTTCAAGTTTATCTTGACAAGGTTGAGTGCAAGGATCTAACCTGCGGCACGATATCTATAGGGGTAGACTCGAAGAGGATCCAATTTGGTCACCATCTGCAAATCTGCCTTTGTTAGCTCTCGATCACAATACTCTGACCTCTTCTCATAAGCCGAGGCATTGTTTCTGGCCTTCTCTATTAATTTGGTCATTTCCTCATATGCTGTATTTCTATCATTCTTGAGGAAATGTACTCGGGCCAGCCCTTGATGTGCTCGTGTATGCCGGATATTAAGTGCATTGATATAGCATTCGGCTGCTAAATCTAGCTTGCCACAATCAACATAAACACTCCCAAGATTGTTCAAGGCCTACATAAGATAATCGAGAAAATGGATAAGCAGTCAAGACTACTAATAAGAAAGTATTACATTGGTGGAACATCTAGTACGCTGTAATTCGGGAGCATGCTCTACATACTAATTTCATTATTACAACTTTTGAAAAGTTATGCACATATTGATGAGGGGACTGTGCATACAGAAGGATTTGTAATTGTATAGAAGGATCTGTACGTGAAGTTACACCTTGGAAGGTGTACTAACGCTAAAATATCTTTCAAATTAAATCTTAGTTTTATAGTGTTCAAGTTTAAAGGTCCTAAGCAATAGAAATACCATTGAGGTAAACACGCAAATGCAAACTTTGTACATGTTAATTAGATAGGTTTATACAGAAATGCTATTTACGAAGTTGCAAAAAAAAGGTCTCACATAGCTAAAAACTAGCTAGAAAAAGATGATAAAGTTGAAAAGAAACAGTGATCAGAAGGCTGAGGCCACAATAAAAGATATTGAAAATGTAAGTTTTGATCTTTGTATCTGATGGTAATAACTATTTCTCGAACCCAGAGATTTTGGAGTCAGTTTGATTGCTCCATACATATCCAAAAGAAGGTTCTCCATATAGAAACCAGATGTTAAAGGTTAGTGAATGTACGATAGACAGATTCAGAATAAATAAATAAATATAAAGTTACTCAAATTTTTTTGAATGAAGACTGGATTGGTTAGTAAAGTTAATAAGGCTGCTGCAATTGACTTGCTCAATTTCAGGGGAGGACGGGTATTTGTTGGATTTTGCTTTTAGATCATGCATAAGTAGTAAATGCTCGATTTAAAGTCTGAAAAGTCTTGAGTTGTACTTGTAAATATGAAAGCTTGCTAACATGGGTCTCTGGGATTCATATGATTGTAAGCTATAGTTGAAGTTAGGTTTGTCTAGGTAAAGTATAAACTTTTCTTCATGATGTTTTCGGCTTGGGGGTGTTGTGTGAAATAGAAGAGCTTCATAAGATTGTGAGTTCTGAGGATATCTTAAAGGGATTGTAAAAGAGATACAACATTCTATGTTAAGGGTTAAAGAAAAAAAAAAGGCAAAAAAACGTAACGCATAATGTAGGTTATCTGATTTAGTAATTATTTACATATTTTATAACTAGAAACATTCATAATGATTTTAATAATTAGAATCATCAAAATTTTCAAACACAATGTCATATATTCACAAATATCAAATTATACTATCACTATTTCTAAACAAACACTAGTCAAATACGCTTAATAACCATTCCAAAAGAATGAAATCCATCAGCTTTGAAACCAAATCATCAGTCTAAACAAAATCAAACAATCAAACCAGACGCGTAGGACCTCACTGGCATCGTGGGACCCTTGTCGTCGTTGAGAAGGCGGCTAGCGTTGATTCAAGTCAGTCCAGGTTCACTGGCATTGTGATTCTCATCTTCAATTAGGGTTTTGAAGGCATGGAGTTCGATTAGAGTTTTTCTTTTCATCTTCATATGCTCCTTTGTCATAGGCAGCGAAAAGAACTTCAGATCAAAAATTCGCAACAAAGAGAAGGGTTGTTGAAGAGTGATTTAGGGTTTTCTAAAGGACATCAAGAGAAATTGGAGGCTAGAGAAATCTGAGGGTGCCAATTGATCTCAGAATTGAAGGGAGGAAGAGTTTTAATTGGAGTGAACGATTGGATTTATCCAACAGTTCTAAGTAAAAGACAATTTAACGCATCATAACGTATTGTTAAGTAACGTGTTACATAACGTGTGTTAATTTTCAGAAAACGCAACTTTATGAACTGGGACGTTTTTTTAATGGGTTATCTAACAAATTCCTCTCATTATGTTACATAACATGTTATAACGTGTTATGAGTTGCGTTTTTTTCAACATTGTTATTGTTGTAATCTGACGTTAAGAGGAACATCAAATAAATTCTATCTTCATGTCTCTCATAGTTTCCTTTACTAGAGATTCCAGTACATCTCAACTTTACATATGCTCAAGGTAAACTAAAGGTGAGTACAAATTCTTTTCTGATTAATTTTGGGGCTATTTGCCTGCCTAAGCTTCATGGATGCCGTAAATTCTCAATCTGATAGATAGGAACACAGCCACTGTTGAGATGTGGATGATCAAGATTCTCTTGATCAACCTTGGTCTAAGAAGAAAGGTTTTAATAGTGGCTAGCAGGAATGCAGGTATAGAACAATTTTTAGTACTCTGAATCAATATGGGTCACTTTTCTGATTCCTGGAGAAATGTTAAAAAGGAATACAAAGATTCCAAAGGAATTTATCTGAAAAGTCATCAGTCGGCATCCCCTAGATTTTGGACATTTTACTGGCAGATGATTTGCCTTTGAAAGTTATCTTTTTGTCCAAGTTTTTTTTCAGTTCAGTTTACACTGTTATGAGGATCGCCGTCCTTGTTGAGCTATAGGAAAATAACTCACAATCATTTCCTTATGGGTCTTAATCCATCCATGATTGTACAGTCCTTTTGCTAATGTGATTTGAACGTGTAAAGTCCCTCTAGTGGAAAAAAATTCCATATCCATACAATTTGCAAAGAGACAATTTGCACAATGTACATCCTCAAGTCAACAAAGCTAGGAATTCCTGAGATAAGGAAAGCAATAAAATTTTGTATAATATACAAGAAGTGATTCTAAAAAAATTAAGTTGTTTCTGGAATTAAGATTCTAGAAACAATTTAGGCCAACAAGGGTGAAGTGCCAGCATTCCATACAATATCGAGTGAAACTTGAAATAAATAACTGAAAGAAGTACAAAATCTTAAAACAAATACCTGACCCTTTCGCAGCCTATCAGAGGGGCATTTCAAAGCATCTTCCAGAAGAGAGACAACAGTCGCATAACTTGAAGGATCAGGGCTTGAATCTGCTAAGGCATATGCCTTCAAGAAGAAAGCCTCGAAAGACCTCTGGATGGAGATTGATTCCTCAGCTTTACACAGGCCTTCCTCACAATGACCAGTATCATACAAAATCCATCCCTCATAGACTAACCGTTCATGTTTGCTTGCTGCATGCTGGCGAGCAAGCTGAAGGCTACACATTGCAGCTTCAGGACAGTTTAACCTATTCAAGGGAAAACAACAGAACATCATTTTGTAGCTATGCAAATTATAAAAAAAAAACATATAACCAAATGAGTACATGGCTATATGTCAAGCATTAGGAAAACCTTTTCCCCTCTTTTTCATCCATTCTTATTTCATTCAAATTTATAGTGATTTGTCATCGAGTGACGATGCGGAAGTCAAAATACGCATATTGGGTTTATTTGATACTTTGAATCAGAAGAGACATGAAACATGAGAAGGCAAGAAAAATAATTTCCTAAGCCTATCTTATCTTAAATTTTCTGATGTCTACCTAATTTCGAAACTACCAAGTCTGTCATACGTTGTGACACTTCAGCAAGCACATAAGACGTTAGGAAACTAAACATAAGAACTTGATCTGCATATGAAATTGTACAAGGTATACAAGCAACAGCAAAGCATTTATCCCAGCATTTTTTGGGGTTGGGTACATGAATATCTATTTTTTCATTCAGTTCCACTAAGATATAGGGGGGGAGGGGGGAGAAATAGTAACAAGGTGTAGAAAAAGAACTTTAGTAGGAATTATTTATCGTGAACATAATAGGGAAAGGGCATGAAAAATCTCAATCATGCTTTTTAGTATATAGAGAAAAACAATGGAATGCAATTGAGATGGTACATCTGATATACCTAAGAAGAAGCAAAGACTGTCTGAAGTACAATATTCCCTTCTGAGCATCCGGTGCCTCTAGCATCTGATAGATCACTGAAAGAGAACCTATGTCATCTACTGAGGACCACCGATCATAAAGCTGAAGCCAACAATCTGCAGTTGTCCACTGCTCCACATGCTCTCTAACAAGCATCCTCAGCTGACAAGCAGCCACACGCCCTTCAAACATCCGATACTTAGGAGACAACGTCAGAATTGCCTGCACATCACACAATGCAGCTCTATAATCCTCAAGCGCCAGATAAAAGCAACATCTAAGTTCTAAGCATTCTAAAGCCAACTTGAACCCAAGAACACGGTTGATCTCCATGAGGGCAGCCTCTGCACTTTGCTTTCTCATCAAAGATGCCGCTCGAAAGATGTAAGGGTAAAGAAGTGTCGGGTCTAACTCAGTGGCCTTATTGAGATCCTCCCACTTGCTCTCTCCTTCTGAATACAAAGATCTCTCTTGATACATCCACCCAAGGGGATCATAGATGGATATAACTGAGCTCAATTTCTCATAAGCTAGAGTTCTGTCACCCTTACTGTAAGCCAATCGCGCTAGACCAGCAATAGAATAGATGTGACCAGAAGAAATTGCAGCATTAAAAAGCCTTTCTGCTTCATGGTTCTCCTTTCTCAATAGCCTCACACATCCAAGCCAATGTAAAGCCAATTGTTTCTGTCTACAATCCGTCGCCGATTCCACTAACTTCTCCAAAAAACTTGATGTGACCTCTGATTTAGGATCCATGTTCATTGCAACTTCACTCAGCAAACAATACAGTGAGAATGAGGCATGACCAACCATAATGGATCTCTCTCTTTCATTAACACCAGAGAAAATCTTGACTACCTCCTTATCATTTAAACAATCGGGTAAGTCGTGCAAGAACACTTGAAGACATGAAGCGGCGAGAACAGGAGAATTTTCTTCAAGTGCACACTCCATGAGATCGATAGCATCCTCTCTAGACGAAACTAATGTCGCCATTCTCCTATCACATGCATCTTTTAGCCTCTCACAGCAAAACTTATTTGCAAATATTAGAATTTCTAACAAAATATCTGGGGCTACATCACCTAAATTACCCGAGTGACTAAATTGATTGATTGCTCTCATACCAATAGGTGAGATACCATTCTCAGACAAATCGATGACTTCAAGAATTGATTCGGTGAAACACCCATTAAGCATGGTGTGGAAAGGAGTAGATAAAGCTGCGATTTTTTGCCGATCACAGCTTATCTTTTCTTCTCCTATTTGGAAAGATACTGAAGTCGAAGCATGTGATGTATCAGAAGTACAACTACATCCTGTCTCGATTGTCTCTGTAGGGATTTGAGAAGAAATATCCAGCTTCTCGAATTCCTGAGAACACTTTCCGCAAGATGCGAGAAGATCTGAGATTGGTTCTTCTCCTTGTTTCTCATATTTTAACCAAGCTCCAAATATGAGCCGCTCGTGAACTGTGGTTGCCATCTCTAAAGCAGAACGGAGGCTTCTTTGGAGCAATTTCTGCTCCCCGAGACCCTTAAATACCTGAAACTGTAGCAAGTACAGTTTCGATCTCTCATGCGGTGGGCAGGACTCGAGCTCTTCATGGATCTGAGCTAATACTTCCACATAGTGAATAGGCTTGAAGAGTGGGAGCAGTGGTGGCTCTGCAACCTTAATAAGGGATTCACTGAATTCATAAGAAGCATAATTAGATCAGGCAAAAAATAAGAACAACTACTGAATTTTTGAAAAATGAGTATGACTTACATGGAAGAAGGGGACTGTGGACTGGCTTTTGACTGTTTTCCTCTCTCCACTTGAAGCCACGGCTGAGGATTAAATGTATGGATTTGGGTCTCCTTGTAAGATTCAGACACGAAGAGATTCCTCATAGAGCTAAAGATGGAGAAAATCCTGGAAATCTCCAGAGACCCAAAATGGGACAGTAGCCCCAAAATCTCAAATACAAATATAGTTTTATCAAAAAATCCAATCCTAAGGGTGAGGTAATCTGATCAATAGAATACGCGGAGAAAGGAGCCTCCTTTACACAATCTAAATCTACGCAGCAACAAACAAAACAAACCCTTCAGATGATCTGAACAAATGCAGCCATTAGAAAGGGTCAAGGGATTGTTTCCTGACTCCAGATTAAACAAGAAACAAGCCCCCTTTGGAAAAACTCTGAATCAATCGAACACAAATAAATCACAAAAGACGGGACCCCAACAGCTAATAAACCTCCAAAAACCCTGTTCAGATCATCACACGAAACAACTTTAAACTCTAAACTATAAAGAAAGAATTGGAGGATAGGAACGAATTGAACTGATGAAGGGGGCGGTCGTTTTCAGCTTAAGATGCACAAACCCACTTGAGATTTCACAAGATTTGAATAGGAAATCAGGACAAATCTAAAGAAAAGAAGGAGAGGATGAGACCCCACCAGTGTTTTGTTCGGTAATGGAGAGAGAGCCCAAATGCCCACAATGAGCTCCTTAAACTCCCCAACTTCAGAGGGCCTTCACACACAAAAGACACAGGAAAAAAGTATGTGAGTATTAAAGAGGAGGAATCCAAAGCTTCTGAATAACTATCCTTTTGTTGGGGGAGAAAGGGGAGAGGTTCTTTTTTTTTCTTTTTTTTTTTTTCCTCTCTTTCTGTGCCTCGTTTTCACTTTCCTTTCATAATAAAGCTATTCTTTTGGGGAGAGTGGAGGAGGCGGATATTACAGGCTGCTCAGTGAGTGTAAAAATGATTATTGATGCCTTAAAATAATGGATTAGAAACTGCACGGTGGGATACCATGAGAGAATTGTGAATCGTTCAAAACTGCGTACACCTAAAATTTTAGGCAGAAGTAATTTTTATTTCCCAGCTTTTTTAAGAGCGTTTGTTGATGTCAGTTATCGAGCAGCGGCTTTATTTAGGGATTAATATTAGGTTAGGGTCCCCAAGCTTCTTTAGATGTCCGGTTTTGGAGCTTAACGTTCTCTTCTGCACATAAAACGTTTTTGCGAGGCTGGAGTTGGGTTCTCCGGTTGTTCCTCCGATGATCAAGTTAGTGTATAAACTTGAGTAGAAAAATAGGAAGTAAGTGAAGAAGAGGAGTTCAAAGTTGTATGAAAACAAAAGAAGTCACTCTATGCAGTGCAGCTTCCTTTTATGGAAGATTGGGAGGGCAAAAAGATAACGTAGGCCAAGTTCGGATAGGCAGCTGAGTCGGCAGATGCCTTACAGGTGTCGTCCTTTGAAGAGGGTGAGTCATCCAGTCATTCAATGTGGGGAAGGCAGCACGTGCTTGGAGTTGACTAGGTCCGATAAGTTATAAATACTACGAGGGCTAGAGCAATGATGACGTTGTCAGAGCAGTTAAAGCGATGATAGGTGGCTGTCAGCGAGGGGTTCGAGGAAACTGCCGCCTCTTTAATTGTCTGGTTGGAGGCCGATGATAGGTGGCTGTCAGCGAGGGGTTCGAGGAAACTGCCGCCTCTTTAATTGTCTGGTTGGAGGCCGACAAACACCGCCGCCTAGTGCGAGTGCTTATAAGGTCGATCTGGTGGGTAGGCCGACAAATGCTGCATTTTTAGTCGCCTGCGCAAGCTGTCAGCCTGATGGGTTAGCTACACAAGATGGTCGGGTTGTCTAGACTCTGATCATATTTGATTAAAAGAGGAATGAGACACGTGTCGGCCCAGGAAGGTGGTTTTCACATTTGGTGATTTGTTGTCATAACAGTGTTGATGTGTGGATGTTAGTGTGCGGTTTAGAAGAGGTAAAATGATTTC